ATATAAGTATATATAAAATGTACTTTATTTAAAGACATCATATTTTTATATAATAATTTAAGAAATTAACAGCAACGTTTTCTTTTTTGTATTGTAATGTGAAAAACAATAAATATATTTGTTTCCATTGATACCTATAATAATTATACTAATATTTATAGTTTAAGCATATCACATAGTATTTTGATATATCAAACAAGATAAATACATAAAAGTAATCATAATCACTGTACGTTAAAATATGATTGGATATAAACAGTTCTATTAGATATGATATATCTGAATATGATAATTTATAATGTACGCAATAAAAAATTGCATTCTTTAAAATTCCATTAATGTAATATAATGAATATTTATGTGTTGTAATTATGTTCGCTGATATAAAATGTATAATATTCTATATATCTATATAGATTTTTATGCAATGTTTTATTAAAATTAAGGAATATCAAAAATAATATGAATAATAAAAACATAATGATAATGAATTACAATAGAATGCATAAATCGTATAAATGGAAAATTATTTGATTTAATTTTCTTCTACATTAATATTTTTATAAAGGAATAATTTTTTTTACAAAATCTGTACATTTCCATTTTTTGTTATTCCTTACAGATATATATATGTGGTGCTTAATATCTATATTAGCTATACTTTTTATTTTCAAGTGCTTTTTTGTTACTTATTCATGAAGTAATTAATGTATGTTATTTTTTCTATCAAAAATATATTTAAAAGTATTATATTAAAATGAATATTTTTATTATTTTTTTTTTCTGATTATCCTAATATTACAAACGTTATCTTTTTAATGTATAGTACATAAAAACATAAAAATATTATTAAATATAGGTGTTATATTTGTGATATATTGCATAAATATATTCTATTTAGAATAAATACTCTATTAATTAATGCTTTAAGAATAATGTAATTTAAAAATTAATGATTATAGTATATTTATTATATATATATATAGTTCATCACCCGGTTAATGGATACTATATTAGTATCGTATTGTTTAATAATAAAAACACAAATATGTAACAACTTTTATATTTCTGTAAAATCCTATAAAAATAACACAATAAAAAAAAGAAAATATAGAAATATCATTGATATAAATCAATAACTCACATAATATTTTTCGAACCATTTTATATAACTAGTATATAAACGATTTATTTAGTACAATAAAAATATGTAACCCATAAATAAAATATAAAAAATTAATATTAATCAAATAAAAAATAAATTAATATATATAATTAATGTATTAAGTTATATATAAAAAATAATTGATTGGTACAACACTTATAATAGAGTGTACGAATTATTAAATATTTATTCTGAATAATAAATATGAGAATATTAATGTAAAAGCTTTATACCAAAATTTATTAAATACCTGTCAATAATACAAACATTTTATTGAGATCAACACTAAGCATTACATGATATTATTAAATAAATTATAATATATATATGTCATTAGGGTATAATTAAACATGTAATTCCTATATAACAAGGTCATATCATAAATTAAAAAAAGGTGAATAAATTCACATATAATAATTTACATATATGCATTTTATAATAAAAATTATATATAAATATACAAAGTGGTATCATTAAAAATATTGTATATCCGCCTGAATATGGAGTCTGAATAATGGAAACTAAAGTATAAACATGAAGACATAAAATACCGAACTCTGAATCTGTAATATAAATTATTATTATTTTCTAAGAAATTACAAAATTTGCTTAATCCATAATACCTATTTAAATAAACAGTATTTTAACATATTATGATTTTAATAATACTTGATAATATAATAGATTTATATAAGTTCATAAATGATTTCGTATAAAAATTATTCATATATAATCATTTATTGTTAAATAAATATAACAATAATATATATATAAATGTAAAATAATTATATACGTAAAAATACTTATATATGTTATGTTGATATAAGCATCCTCTTATGGCAATATAAAGTGTTAAAAATTATGAAAACATTAATATATTTTCTTCCTTATATTCTTATATAATACATGCAATTTTTTTGAGCACATAAGAATTAAATTATATCTTATTTTTTATTGCAATTAATAATTTATAAAACCTAAAATATATTCCTCAATAGTTAAATATATAATAAGTAATTTTAATTTATATATCATAATGATATATGTACATAGATAACAATCTCTCCATTATTCCAAAACAAAATTCAATTATATATAAAAAATTAATCATAAAATATATATAATGTTAGTACATCAGGAATTTGTGAATTGAAGTAAAAGTAATAATACATTAAGTTATCCTCATATATTCCTTATAAAATAATGAGAAATACCTGTGAAATACGACAGTTTCTATTAATATGTTACCATATTATTTGATGTATGAACTCTGAAATCAAAATCACTAATCTCTAAAACTTATATATTCTAATTTTACATATTCGTCACGATAAGTTATATATGTTGCAATCAAAACTATATTAAAGTCGAATATACGCAAAATTACATAAGTACTAAAAAGAGTTATATATATTTGTTATGTATCGTTTTCTTTATTGAATGCATTATTATAACATTATAATTGTTATATGTAAAATAAGACCTGCTGTTACATTTAAGAAGTCTAATTTATTTTTTTTTTTATTCTAGATATCATGCTTATGTTTTTTATTCATTTATTAAAATGAATGATAAATTATTCTATATCCAACAAATAATTTATATTATATTTTAAGAAGGATCATAATTAATTTTGAAGTGAATAAATGATAATATAATATTAGATAAATAAATATAAGAAATTGGGACTTAAATTTTCATCTTATTATGCGTCTTTATTTTTTATAACCTATTTTTGTATGTTCACAGATTTCATTAGCTTATATGATCATGTACTGTATAATATAATATTATATAAGATGGTAGATAATATTGTAGGCTTCAAATATAACAATATGCGTGTCAGAGTTATATAATTACATATATTACATTTTCTATAAATATAATAAAAATATTTTAAGAATCATAAAATTTATGTAATGTTACACTTTTTTCTCTTAATATTAGTATCGATTTCTAGATGACTTTTCTTATTGGGAGAAAATCATGCACATGATAGAGAAAGAAAATTATAGAAATAACTATAATATATATTGCTCTTCTATTGTGAATGTATATAAAGGAAAAGATAAAACTGTATTTATTAAAGAAATATGCCTCAAATCCTTTTCATGCTTTTATGATATGCTTATTTCGCAAAAAAATACCAATTATAGAGAAGCAGGATGCAGATATTTTCCTTATTGGTTGTACTATATTCTGAAAAAACACAATTGCAGTAACGATACAGTACAGATTTACAAAACATTGTTGAACACATATGTCTATTATATGCGCGTGTCAAGTACATTTTGTACTGAATATGTGAATAAATTAACCAACGAACAATTGGAGGATCTTATATCTATATATAATACCTATAAATGCATTAAAAAAACAGAAACAAATGATGCATCTCAGAATAACAATGAATATTGCATTACATTAAAAAAAATTATAGATAAATATCAAGAATCTATAATACAAAAAGATCATGACAGAGCTAAACTGCAAAAATGTACAACTGAAATAAATAATAAACAAGAAATAGGATGCTCTTGTCGATCCAATATTGTAAATACTATTGCAACTACAATAATTTTAACTTTACTAATATTGCTTTTTTTGTTATTCATGTTTAAGGTTAATTATGGTAATTTTTATATTTATAGATAATATTAAATTGTGTTTCCTAATAGTTTGAAAAAAGAGCATTTATCATATTAAAATTATATAATTAATTCCTAATTTTTTTTACGTATATTAGTATACTTCATATGGTTCCTTATTGTGCCATAAAATAAAAAGGATAAGAAAAAAGCTAGATAATATTTCTAATATACGGAATATACGGAAAAGAACCGAATTACCCATAAATATGCTTAACAGTGGGATCTATGATATGCTGTACAACCAATCCTAATATTACTAATATATTTATAATTCAAATAAAATTCATTTTAAAAAATTTATAAAAGAATTTTTGTAAATATCATAATACGCGCATCTCTCAAGAAAATAATTCTTATAATATAATAAATAAAATTCATGTATATTATTATCCATATAACACATAGTATTTCATAATAAATAATTATTAAAATATAAATATCTAGGCATATAAATAATAAATAAATGTAATACGAATAAATTTAGTTCTTGTTTTAATACGCAGTGTTTTGCATATATATTTTGATATTAAGTTATAATTTATCGTTTTATAGATAGAGTAATAATACATTACATTGACTAATACAATAATAATTATGAAACGTACAAATTGTTATATATATTGAATGCAATTATGGCCTCTTCTAAAAATATTATGATATATAACAATATTAAATTATTAAAAGCAGTTCTCAATTATTATCTAAACATATTCATAATTAACATTTAAATATAGTTCTTTTTATACGTTGGTAATATTTTTCAATATTAATGATAGCATATTTGCATCCATATATAATATTAATATGTGAAATTTTATTCTACATATGAATATTTGTTTAATAAAGAACAGAAATTACAAAAAATAATTTATTTTTTACACTTTATTTTTTCATCATGTTTAGTTAATTTTATCTAATTTATTCCTTTTTGTGTACTTTATTTAATATCCAAAGTTATTATAATTATATAATATTATGATAAATTTTAATGTACACACATTAGCAATGAAAAAAAAACATATATTAATTCTTTTAAATTTAACATTAGGTGTAAAGTAAAATTATATATGTTTCTTAAATTAATGAATCAACTATATTACAGATTCATGAGATAGTCATTATGATATATTTTTACATTATTTTACATATAGCTATAAAACATAGAAACCGAATATGATACGGTTTTATATATTCTTCCATTATATTAATTAAATTAACTTAAAGGAATACCCCCTAATTAGAATCTATATTTTATAATACATTTCTCTATCCATACTATTTGTAAGAGCATCATTATATGCATCACGATATATTAATTAATACTAATTCATATTTTTTTCCCCTTACCAATTGTATCAAAATTACCATAAATTCCTGGAATATAATTATGATTATTTATTATTTTGTTACGCTACAGATCTAATTTAACTCTTATTTACCTTAAGTATAACACTTTTCCTTATAATTTTAGAATATATTTTGCTTTTTAAACTAAAATACAGATTTGTGGTCTCAATAATTTATAATACACTTATCAATGGATCATAAATTTCATATCGTTCTAATTATCGTCAAAAATATACTGGCATTAATTACATTTATTATAATAATCATTTCTTCGTGATATACACACATGAATAGATCATATATATAAATATTTATTTGTATAATGTATAATACATAAATAATATTTTTTTTAATTCCTATATTTCATTATTTTTCTATATTTTGGTCTCATTTCGCATTCTCACACAAATATAATAGCATGCTCCCTCATAAAAATCTCTTAAATAATATTTTATTAATGGTTAATTGCAGAAAAAAGTTTTGTGCAGAATGACATATCTAAAACAATTGTCTTATGTCGTAATATGCAAATTTAGATTATAAGACATATGATGGTATTTCACTTGCCTTTATTTCATTTTGATTTGGGTTTTGCTTTTTCTTCTATGTTCCTATTTTATATAACGTTGTCCAGATGTAGTAGAATAATTATATACATATAGATAGGAGAATTCTTATTTAATAAATATATAAATGTAAAAATTATAAATTTTAATATAAAATATTTATATATTCAACACTAATTTGCATATACACTATAATAAATGTTGAGCAACGAAATTGTTTCTAATCATAAATAATGTAAGATAAAACGATTAAAAAGATATTAATTTTATATAATGTAATTTTCTTTTATAATATTGGAAAAAAGTTAAATTACTTCAATTGATACATTATGATGGATAGAGGATATACTATGTGTAGCTTCATTAGTCTCATGTTATTTCTAAATTTTTGAGGCACAATACAACCTAACTCAGGACTTTCCTATCCTACACCCTTAGCTTCTTTAACTTTATCTACATATAACTTATTAAATGACAACAAAACGCTCCAAATAGCACTTCTTTCACATGTTTCACTAATAGCAAAGTAAAGTTCGAAATATTATTCAATATATACATAATCACAGGGTCAATATTCATAATGTAAATTGATATAAATCGGATTAATTTAAGTTTTTTAAATACATTTTCATGTCAGTTTTATCACAATTATTAGTTTTAATATATTTATAATATTAAAAATTATCATGTCAACATTTCTATTATTCCCAATTTTATGGCTTGATTTATAAAATATATATGATTCCAATTTATACTGTTTTTTAACTAATAGTGCTAAAAACTCACATATATTACAACTGACATATTCATTTTATAGATAACATACATTTTAGTCCTTTTTCACTATGAGAACATGGAAGCTGTGGGAAAAGTAATAGCATACATATAATCGCTCATTTTCTTGTTTGACAAAAAATTATTTTATAATTGTTTGTAATATTTTTACAAAGGATTATGTGTTCTTCGTTAATGCTTTCTAAACAGTTGCATCATTTATTATTAACATTCTTAATATACACTTTATAAAATTCATTATATCTGTTATAGGTAAATATCAAAATATTTCACTCCTTTAAATACGAGGAAAAAACAAGTAGTGTTATATAAATTTTAAAATTATTCTTAAAAAAGATGTCATCGTGTGTTCATAAATTTAAAGAAATTGTACTCAAAATGGTTTATATGCATATCAAAAGTGTACATAAGACAAATAATCCTATTTAATGATGTATCCTCTTTTAACTCATAAAAATAAATTAATTACAAAATTCGAGGAATTATCTTTAAGTGAAAACCTATATATTTAACATCGAAACCTTCTATGGTTCTGTTACCATCATGAAACATGAATACTTTCAATTATTTATAAATGTATAAGTAAAATTCGTGTTCTCAAGGATATCACTTTATACGTATATCGCACAAACCTATTAATAATGAGTTATAAATAAAATAATTCTTATTTTCACATAGGGCTAATTGTAACGTCTTCATATTATTGTTAGATATGTCTCCTTAGATGTGAATAATTGGAATACCATATTATAACTTATTGCTTATAATACATAGATAATATCTGGATTATTCACTAAAAAAGTGTAATTTATTCCATTATTCTCTTACGTTTTTTTTGGTAGTTATTTATATGAGTTATTTATTTTCTATTCTTAAAATTACAAATTTTAAAAATTAGTAATGTCATTAAAGCTAAAGTGGTGTGAATTAATAAATATAATTTGCGATACCTTGATTTAATTCAGTGTATAAAAAATATATAATGTGTAAAAAAATATTATAAAATGTGTCTGCTATTATAAACCATTGCATGTCATAATAAAGTATATAATTTCGAAATAACTAAATTTTTATGCAGCAGAAAAAAATATTTTTTTACAGTATTCATTTTTTAACATATAATAAATAAACATGTTAAGTTTAATATTTTTC